TGGCGGGGGTCAGGCTGGCCACTGTCACCGAGGACATTGCTTCTGGGCTGTGGGGCTTCAGAACGAGGATCTGAGAGAAGAGAAGACGTCACCCAAGTGCCAGCCGCCTCACCTCCGACGACCAAGGCGACGGGGAGTGGGGACTAAGTTCGCTGTCCCGGCTGTAGGTGCCAGGTGGACGGGCTGTGTGCCCCCCGCCTGCCTTTTCTGGCCTGGAAGGTTGCAGTAGCTCCCTGCTCCCCGTGCCTCCACTTTGCTCTGACCCCCACTTGTCTTTAGTGAGACGTTTAAACTGCCCCGCACTGCAGTGACTGCTCAAGGCCTCACTGGGGCCCGGCTCACTTCAGATAAGATCCGGTCTTCGCCTGGGCTTCTGGGCTCTGCAAGACTCGGACCCTGCCAAGGCCTTGGGCTCCAGGGACCTACTCTCTCTAGCTCCCTAGATTCTGAACACATCACCTGGTCCCACCGCACGGCCTCTGCCCCAGCCATCCTGCCACCTGCGTGGCCGGTCCCTTCTTGTCCCAGCCTCAGCTTCCCCCGAGCCTCCTCTGGTCCCACTCAGCTGGCCACTGCCCACCCTCCAGGTCCCCCGTTCAATTGCGAGTCGTCTCAACTCCCCATGGAAACACTGTGGCTCCACCTCTCCAGGGCAGGGTTTAAGGAAAACGTGATTGAGCCGTTGAAAGAATGAATGAATGGCCCAACTACTTCCTCCCAATATCTGAAAGAAGGACGAGGGGTCAGGTGGCCATAGCATTGTTTCTTGGGATGAATCCGTGGGTGTGGGTGACAGCCTGGTACGAGGACAGGAGGAGCCACGTTCCAGAAGGCTCAAAGTGGGCGGGGCTCAAGGGGCCGTGGCCTGGGCGTTCTCACCCTTCGATGCTCTGATGCAGCCTGGAGCTTGGGTCTGGCCCCTGCTTTCTCTGCATAGGCTGATGCCCACTGGTGTGCCCCCTGCCCCCTCCACCTGGCTCTGAGCTGAGCCTGACTACAGCTGCCCCACAGCCTGCACCCCCTCCTGCACAGCAGGAATCCCCTCCGCGGCCAGGACAGCTTCCTCCCTGGGGTAGCAGAGACCCCTCCCCCGAGTCTCAGGTGGGCTTGGGCTGCCTCACACACGGGCATTGCCCAGTCCCCTGTGGCCAAGTGCAGGCCTATCTGGGGAACGGTTGGCTCTCCTCACCGTCCCTTCCCTCGTCTCGCTGGTGCCAAACTCAGCTGCACGGAGAGAGCCCCAGGGGTACAGAGCACGAGGGAGGCCAGGCTGGGACTTTGAGGGGCAGCTGGACCACGCCCGGAGCATGAGAGATCCCTGTGCTCCGGGCAAAGCCACGCTGTCTGGGGTCTCTGCCCGGCAGAACCCACTCCTGACCTGGGGCTGCATCGGCCATGGCAGGTGGCGCTCTCAGGCATGGAACAGCGATGACCATGAGAACGCTAAGACTGCTGGGAGCCGTGGGACTGGGCGCGGGGCCAGGTGCGGGCAGCTTTGCCCACGTGTCTCACTCAGCACGCACACAGCCAAGGTCAGGTCCACCCTTCAGTCTCCGAACCCACTCTTCACCACTGCCTTACACTGCCAGACTCAGGGAGTGGGGAACGGCTGCTGAAGGAAGGCGGGCAGGCGGCGGGGAGCGCGGCACAGGGTCCGTGCCCCCAGGCTCACCTGCATCCGCTCCCGGCTCTCCGGCTCCAGGCCCTGCATCTGCTCCCGGCTCCCCGGCTCCCAGCCCCGCATGCTCT